ACACTCCCTGGTAGACCTGGCAAATGAGGACCCGATCCGAACCCGCCCGAAAAATAGAGAATGGGTTGAGGTTTTTATAACCCGAATTACCCCAATCTGATTAACCCGTAGTTTTTGGGTCGGGTTGGGTTGGTTTGTGGGTCGACCCGCTAGACCCGTTTTATTGAATATGTCACTCTCAAAATGATAAAAACACTCATACTTTGGTGAGATGTTTAAAAAAATTTATTAGGATTTGAAAGACAAGTTTTGAGTGTTAAGATAAGCAAACATCATTTGTTTATTGTAGTAGTATTACTTTCGTCATTGTTTTTTGACAATTTGCGCAATTTGTATTTCTTTTCATTAGCATGGAAGGAGTTGAGCATTTGTTAATTGACATGTGCTAGGCAAACTATTGTCGCACATACGTAAAAATTTGCGTTCTTTCAAAAATTATGAAGCATGTTTAATATTGTTTCTGAGAACGCTCATGACCCGAAATGACCTGAAATCAGCAAACCCATCATGACCCGACCCGTGAAGACCCGTAACCCGAGATTCCCAACCCAAAATTAGCCAACCCGACCCGATTTCCAGGTCTACTAGTGTACACGTACGATAGCCCGAGACCGAGTGACCAGGATTATGATAGAGTCGTGAACAACGTTCACTTTCCGTAAAGAATATTTCCACCCTCTACAAAGCCTTAGGTTACAGGAAATTTTTTCGTAGGATAAAACTATCACCACTTTAGGTTCCAAACTCAAGAACGCTAAAACATACGAGGAAGAAGAGGAATCCTTTCATGGTGTGTTCTTTTTCACCACAGTCGTTGCCCCCATTTATAGAAACATAGCCGCTTCGTGAAAATGTTTGGTGGCTAACTACCAATTCCCAAACGAACTCATCATCCAAATCTAACCACCAATTTCAATTTATGAAGAGTTGTATTCCACCATGAACCAATGTATCACTTGGATCAAACAAAGCATGGAAGGACAATTAAAAAATGCATCACGTGGTGAAATGGAGTGGGAAGTTTCCCAATTCAAAAGGACACGTTGGATAATAATTATATTGGAAAGTAGGCTAATTTATTAATTAACCTGACCCAATAATTAACCAATTTGATCCAACCTCAAATCGATATGACCTGATTAGTTCGGTTCAACCAAATTTTCAACATTTCTCCCCATTTTAGTGTATTTAACGAATCCACTAAAATTACAACATTCTTCCAACAAAACTTAAACATCAATGAAAATATCGTGACGATTGAATTTTCATCTTAGTATATTACACTTGACAAATATTCGAATACAAAGGGTGTCGGTAACGATTGAACCCATTGACTCATATGAATATTCGAAGATAATATACACTTAAGTTTTCAAAACTTCTAAGCTCCTTGGCACTATTATCCGCCATGTGCCCAATCCTTCTCATAAGCGCACACAAAACCAAAATCCGGGTTTTTTGAAGCAGTTATACTTCATGCTTACGTAGGTTGAATCTCTTATTCGTGTACCCGCATAATACACTTTGACAAAGATTCAATTAAGAAGTTTTAAACTTCATCCTCTTCTCTCATGCAGGAAAACAAGCACATACCTCGGAATGACAAATTTTGCGCTTCAATTTCTGATAATAAGCTTTCCACATTGAATTCAGCCTCTAACGCCTTTCAACCTCCATAATCCAAGATGGTCTTAATCTCACTCGATGACACCGTTGCCGCCAGCAACTCTACTCCGTTTTGATTCGTGTCATCCATAATGAACACTTCTCACTCAGATTATCTGACAGAAGCTCCTCCGTCTTAACGGCTCTCTCCTCAACTGCCATATTCGGCGAGACACTCATCCACCCACTCGTTCGGTTCTTCTAAGAGGATGTGAGTTCTTGGTTATTGATTAGCCTCGACTTTTGTCTTGCAACTAATTTTGTCGTTATGCGACAGTCTTTGATGGAGCATGGTTGGGCATTTGGCAAGTGCGCGGACGTGAGGGACCGATTACTATGACAACACCCCTTGTGTTGTTATTGTAACAACACTATTCTCCAACCAATAGGAAGCTAGGGTTGTGATGACTTTTTATTAGATGAGTTGACCTAGTGTAAAATCAAAGCAGGGGTATAATTGTCATTATGAAAAATATGTTTAAATGATGATAAATAATTAAAAAAAATTATTTTTGTCCCAAAATTTTGGTCGCCGGAATTCGGCCACCAATCGCCAGAATCTGGCCGCGGTCACCGGAATATTTTTTTATCGCCGGAATATGCTATTTTGTCATCGGAATATGCTCACCATCGCCGGAATATGCTCATCGTGGTTGGAATATGATTACCGGCGTCGGAATCTAGTCATCGGCGCCGGAATATGCATATTGGCGCCGGAATTTACTCACTGACGGTCATCGGAGTTTGGTCAACGGCCAACGACCGCCGGATGTTATGGTCTGCATTGTGAGATTTATGGTTTGGTTTCTCATATTTTTGTATGCCTTTTGTGGTTTGCTTTATCGTGTTTGTGGTTTGCATTGAGAAGTTTCTGGTTTGCTTTATCGTGTTTGTGGTTTGCATTGAGAAGTTTGTGGTTTGCTTTCAAAAATTTTGTGGTTTGCATTTAGGGGTTTCTGTTTTGTTTTAATATATTTGTGGTATGCATTAGGAAGTTTATGGTTAGCTTTTTTGTGGTTTGATTCACTCTGTTTGTGGTTTGCATAAGGAGGTTTCTGGTGTGCTTCGCAAATGTTGTGGTTTGCTTTGTGAGGTTTGTGGTTTATTTTAGGAGATTTGTGGTATGCATTCGGAGGTTTCTGGTTTGCATTAAGAAGTTTCTAGTGTGCTTTCGAAACTTTTGTGGTTTGTTTTGCGAGGTTTCTTGTTTGTTTTAATATGTTTGTGGTTTGCATTAGGGGATTTCTGGTGTGCTTTTCAAAATATTTATGGTTTGCTTTGTGGGGTTTTTTATATGTTTTAGCGAATTTCTGGAAAGGATTTAGCTTCCTGAATCGTCACTAATCATCAAATGGGTAATAAAATAATCTTAGATCACTCGAAAAGATTATGCAAATCGTTCAATACAAAGACGAACAGGTAGCTTGCCTTGTAGCTTATTGTTATTCAATCTCCTGGAACCCAACAAAAGTTTTTGCTCTTTTATAATCCACATGTAGTAAATCAGTTAGAATTTGGGGGGCAAGGCAATGAGTTTTTGCCTTTTTGGACACATCACCAAGAGACAATGCAGAGAATAAGCAATTAACAACGAAGAATCAAATTAACAACAAAAAGAAATCAGACGAAGGAAGGGAGGGGTCGGGATTGGGAAGAATAAGCAAATTAACAAATTCACTCCCTTCTCCCATCTCTTTTTTTTTTTGCCGCACAGAATAAGGTAGACGACGGAGGAGCAAAGCCGAAAGGTGGAGAATGCATAGTGAGCTACTGGTGGCACCCGGTGCACCACTAGAAACTATGATAGATGTTGGATCTGTAAAGGGTTTTTTTAATCAGAACAATTGACGATGAACTTAGTACGAAGAAAAAGAAGAAGAGAGAGGAAAGGCGAATAATCGACCTCTTTCTCCATGGATCGAATTTCACGAGTCTATTGAACAGCCGTGAGTCTGTGTTTACACCTAAAAATAATTTTGCCTTCGATATCGCCGGCGTTGCGAGATTAGCGACGCCGGTGATAAACAATTTCGGGGGTGTTGACACCTCAAATTATTTTAGATTGAATTAAATGCCGTAATAATGATTCTCGGCATTTAATTCGATGTCGCAGGATAAAAAACGGCATCGTTGAGAGACAAGCGGTGTCGCGGAGAGCTAAAACGATACCGCGAAACAAAAAAACGGTACCGCGAGTAAACCCAGCAGTACCGCAACACCGGAAACGACACCGCAGGCCGAAAATAAAAAGGCCGCTCGTTTAATGAAGGGTGGAGGAGGAGTTTTGATTATTTAATTATTATTTGTTATTTCTTTGGAGTAAAACGGTACCGCGAAACAGAAAACGGTACCGCAAGGAGGCTCAGCGGTACCGCGGTACTGGAAACGATACCGAAGAATAAAAAAGGGCCGCGCGTGTGGGTTCTTGTTGGAGAAGGAGTTTTGTTTATAATTAATTATTGTTATTTTTATTCCTTGTTGGATGGGGAGAAGCGGCACCGCGGAGAGCTAAAACGGTGACGCGGAATTAAAAACAGTACCGCGAGGAAGCCCAACGGTACCGCTATACTAGCAAACGACAGTGTTTAATAATAAACAGTGTCGCGGAAGGAAAAAACAAACGGAGCTGGTTGGGAAAGAAAACGACACCACAAGGCTGGAAGCGGAGTCGTTTAATATTAAAACGATGTCGCGGGTAGAATCAAGCGGAGCTGTTTGGGAAAGGAAACGACATCGCGGGATCATGAAAACAACTCACGTAAAGTTCACGCGAAGCAGTTTGAGGAGCGAAGCGGTTGAGACACGTGGGATTTCACAACGGAGCAGTTGAGGAAGCGGTTCCACCGAGCGTGAAGACTACGAAGCAGTTTTTCGGATAAAAGCAGTGGAGCAAGGAGAGAGAAAGGACAACCAAATCAACACAGAACAACTCTGTCAAACTTATCTTTTTCTCTGTAACTCCTTCGCGGAGCTCTCCTTCCAGGAAGGATCTCCATAGTCATAGTCGTAGCGTAGTCGCGGAGCTCTCCACAGGAATCTCCATAGGAGTAGTCGTAACGTAGATTCCTCAAAAACTCAAACACCCTCGTTCGAACGTAGTTTGGAGAGGTGTGAACCGTAGTCACAGTCGTCTTGATTAGAAGTCAGTGGCGCATTAATTCGATCAAATCAACATCGTCGTTTGGCACGCCGGCGGTGGTATTTGGTCAGAAAATAGTGTTGCATCCGTTCAATCGGCACCGCAAGAGTTTCCACCACGAAACATCAAATCAACATCGCCGGAAACGAATTCGGCACCGGCGGTGGCATTTGGTTTTTCCGAGGAAACAGTCTGTAAACAACCTCTAAAGAGGGAAGAGTTGAAATTGCGGGAGGAGGAAGCTGCACAGGTGGTGAGGGAATGCAGTGCGGCAAATGCAGGGTTTTCCATTTTACGACAAGCCTATGGTACGTTGATGAGCTAGTAACTTATTTTGGGATAAGGAAAGATGTAAAGTGAAAAATATATAATACTTTTGTAAATTGGTCAGACTATCCATTTGAAAGAAGAAGCTGCTTAAGATTATATAGTGATCTATTGCGCTCCTGTATTTGGAATTTTTTTTTTCAATGACAAGAAGTTTTATTTAGTATGTAAGCCCTCATGCATATGAGTTCATAGTTGCTCTTCAAGATCCTTGCAGTATCGTCTATATTTTGTCTGTACATATTCTGGATTAAGCAGTCAACCAGTTCAATTAGTCCCAGGCACCTTGCTAAAAGATACAGATCTGAAGGACCATGCATGCTTACTTACTATATACTTCTGCCATCATACATTTATATAATAACAATATATTAGAAAACAACATGCCTGCTTTGCAGTTTTATGCGTATAAGATCTTGGTTTGGTGCAGCGTATCCAATATGCAAAAACAAAGTCGGACTGCCTTGTAGAGGCTGAAGGAGTCTACGATCCAAATGCGAAGAAGAAGAAGAAGAAGAAGAAACAAGAAGAAAAAGGTAACTAGAATTGAAATCTTGCATTCTCTAGTCAATTCTCCAATGTCATGCAAGAACTTTTGAGCTCAACGTCGTGTGGTAATCATGTGCCAATATCTGTACCTCCAGCTGAGAGAAAGAGGCGTGCTGAAGAAGCTCAACAATCTGCAACTGCTAATGGTTCAGCTGCCGACAATAACAGAGGCCCTGTCCTGTAAGTGTGCTGCTACTGTCTGTTTATGTAATTCTGAATATTAACTTGTCCATCACAATCTTATAAATTTACCTCCAAAGCATGAGTCTGTTAATTATACATTGCCTTTGTCAGATTTGCCATCTGATCATGAATTCTTTCTCCTTTGTGATGTGCAGAGTTCTTTCCGCCCAGCAAGTGGTGGTGGCGACCAAGAAACCATTCCACCAAACAACATACTGTTCATTCAGAATCTGCCGCATGGAACCACAAGCATGATCGATGTTGCATGTCTTGTTCCAGCAGTACCCCGGGCGGGTTCAAGGAAGTCCGGATGGTGGAAGCTAAGCCTGGCATTGCATTCGTTGAATTCGAAGACGACGACGTCCAGTCATCCATGGCCATGCAGGCACTTCAAGGGTTCAAAATCACTCCTCAAAACCCAATGGCCATCAGTTTTGCCAAGAAGTAGTAGGGTTGCTTGTCTTCTACTTGTAATTTGTGGATTAAGGAGAGTCATGCTAACAAAACCAGGCCTCCTGAAACTGAGTTAGAGTGATGTGTCTGATCAGGATCAATGTTATGTTATTGCAGACCCACCAATCATCAACAGAATCTTAGCTAGCCAGTTCTTTTGAGTCAGTTTCTACCTCTTCTCGTATGATCTGCTTCTTGTTCAATCATGGACTGTTTAACAGCGTATGAATCATCGTCTAGTCAGTATAATGCACCAGTTTCATTTGTAATCAAATATATAAAAACTTAATAAATAAAAAACGAAGCAAGATCTATTTTACACCTTAATTAATCCCAGTCAAATAAAGTAATCAACATTCAAACTCAAAACCTATAACCCAAAGAAGTAAACTACATAGAACAATCTTTATAATCCATTATTAACCATGTCAGCCTATAGCTCGTCATAAGAACCCTCTTCATCATCTTCTTCACCATCACTCCTTCCACTCTGCTGCTGCTGCTGTTCATAAACTCCCTTGATCACCGGATTACACACATCCTCAACTTCCTTCAACTTGTCATCATAATCATCCTTCCCAGCCACCCCTTCATTCTCATCCAACCACTCCAATGCTTCCTTCAAAACCCTCTCCACCTTCCCCTTCTCTTCCTCCCCAATCTTACCTCCCACGCCATTTCCGTCACCAACCGTGCTCTTCATGTTGTACACATAGCTCTCCAGCTTGTTCCTCGAGTCGATCCTCTCCTTTAACCTCCTGTCCTCTTCCTCCATCTCTTCAGCCTCCTTCACCTTCATCTCTATCTCCTCCTGGCTCAATGTCCCCTTGTGGTTCGTGATCGTCAGTGATTGCGACTTCTTCGCCGCCTTGTCTTCAGCTGTCACGCTCAGGATCCCATTCACATCCACTTCGAACGTCACTTGGATCTGGGGCACGCCTCTTGGTGCGGGTGGGATGCCAGAGAGGTCGAATTGGCCTAGCTCCTTGCAGTCCTTGGTCAGGGCTCTTTCTCCTTGGTACACCTTGATCGATACGGTTGTTTGTTGGTCTTGGTATGTGCTGAACACTTGTGACTTCTTAGCGGGAATGGCAGTGTTCCTTGGGATCAATTTAGTCATAACTCCACCAACAGTTTCAATACCCAGACTCAGGGGAGTTAGATCAATTAGAAGTATGTCTGCAATTAATGGGCAGAAGATAGATAAACAATCGAGTTAGAGTATGTATGAGTAATACGAGCGAGCAGTATTAATTAGTACAGGGGAGTTATATATAATGTCGTCGCGGAGGACTAATTAATTAATTACCTCGAGTGTTGGCTTGATCTCCGCCGAGGTTGCCACCTTGGACCGCCGCGCCATAAGCTACAGCTTCATCAGGATTCACACCTTGGTTCGGCTCCTTGCCATCAAACATCTCCTTGAGCAGCTCCCTAACCTTGGGAATCCGAGTGCTCCCTCCGACGAGCACGATCTCTTGGATCTCCGACTTGTTCAGCCTCGCATCCTCCATCGCCTTCTTCACGGGCCTCAATGTCTTCTTGAACAGGTCCATGTTCATCTCCTCGAACTTGGCCCTGGTGAGGGGCTCGGAGAAATCGACCCCGTCGAACAGCGACTCGATCTCGACTCGGACCTGGTGCTGGCTGCTCAGCGCCCTCTTGGCTCGCTCGCACTCCCTCCGCAGCTTCCCCAGGGCCTTGTTGTCCTTGCTAATGTCTTTCCCGTGCTTCCTCTGGATCAGCTTGATGAAGTAGTCCATTACTCTGTGGTCGAAATCTTCCCCTCCTAAATGAGTGTCGCCGCTGGTCGCCAGCACCTCGAAGACTCCATTGTCGATGGTCAGGATGCTGACGTCGAATGTCCCGCCGCCGAGGTCGAAGACCAGGATGTTCTTCTCTTTCCCCTTCTGGTCCAGCCCGTAGGCGATCGCCGCCGCGGTCGGCTCGTTGATGATTCGGACCACGTTCAGCCCTGCTATTGTCCCTGCATCCTTGGTCGCTTGTCTCTGCGCGTCGTTGAAGTAAGCTGCAAACAAATTGCCATGTACCGTTGATAAATTTACATTTGTAACGAAATTCAAATTCCTCGAGCTTAAATTAATTGTTAGCCCCTCCATCATTCAAGTTTAAACTACGATAGTTATTTACCTGGAACGGTGATGACTGCGTGTTTAACCTTCTCTCCCAGGAAAGATTCAGCCGTCTCCTTCATCTTGGTCAACACCGTGGCGCTAATTTCCTCGGGGCTAAATGTTTTGGTCTCTCCGTCTTTTCTCACTTCAACGTACGGCTTCCCCTTCTTGTTCACAACTCTGTAAGGGAGTAATTTCAAATCCTTCTGAACCTCCGGATCATCAAACCTGTAAGAAAGAAAGAAAGAAAGAAAGAAAGAAAGAAAGAAAGTTGAATTTCAATTTCAAACACACGAAACAGAGTAGTTGCAGTGGGATGAAGAATTTTCAGGATGCAGTGATTTCAGATTTGTTAATCTGTAACTTGATTACCTTCTTCCGATGAGGCGTTTGGCGTCGAAGATGGTGCGTTCTGGATTCTGAGGTGCCTGATTCTTGGCGGCCTCGCCGATGAGGCGCTCCGAGTCCGTGAACCCGACCCACGAGGGTGTGATCCGGTTGCCTTGGTCGTTGGCGATGATCTCCACGTGGCCGTTTCTCGATACGGCCACACACGAGTAGGTTGTTCCTAGGTCGATTCCGATCACCGTCCCGAGCTTCGGAGTCCCTTCTCCGTCCGCTGCCGCGGCTGCTGATGCTGCCAGAAGGAAAGCTGCATGTAAAACAACAAAGAGAAACAGAGCAAGGATTTTTAGTTTCTGATTAGAACCGAACAAAAGAGAACAGAGGCAGAAGAAGAAGAACAAATTAGGTGGTTTTAGTGTTTACCTGACACAATCAGAAGGATGAGTGCGAGATTGCTGGTCTTGACCGCCATTATTGCTTTCACTGGAAAGAATTTGAGTGCTTGATTTTGCACTCTTCTTTCTTTTGCTCTGTTTATTTCTGACGCTGTGTCCTAGAGGACGTATATTTATAGTAGTAGCGGGAGTTAGTTTCTTAAGCGGATTTAAATTACATAATAATTAAACTACTAATCCTACAAACTATAGAAAAACTCAACGAAAACACCTAACTAAGTCCCCCAATTCTAGGCCATCACTAACATAAACCCATAAATACCACAAAAACTACCAGAACCAAATCCCCAGATTGAGTCGAGCATTAAATCCAATTTTCAAGCTTTATCAATACATTAGCTAAGACCCTCTAATGAGGGTAGGAATTCCAGATTACCCTTAATCCCAAAAAAAATAAGCATACCTAGACCAAGTGACCATTTTCTTGTCGGCATCATCGTCGCCGCCGGCGACACTCAGATGTGTTGGCGGCGACTCCTCTTCTCCCTATTTTTCCATTACTCGTCGACCTCGAAAAAAAAAACAAGAAACAAAAAGTAATCAGAAACCAAGACCCCATCTTAAACACAAAGAAAAACTAAAAGTCACAATCCGTCGGATTTACCGTCGGACTCCTTCTCGTTTCGACGTCGCCGGCGTCCTTCCCAGTCGTCGTTGTATCCTTCTTTCCTCGATCGATGGCAGAACCCCAATAGAACCAAAAAAAAAAAAACTATAAGAACCCAAAATCGAAATTGAACCTCCGAAACCAACATGCAAACAAAAAAAAAACCTACATTTGACCTTTTTCTTCGCCGTCGTCATCATCATCGTCGGCGTTGGTGCAGCCATCCTCGTCGCCGTCAGGTGGTAAAAGAGGGTTCGTTCCCTCTCCTCTCCTGACCCCTCGCCGATTCCGAAAAGTGAGAGAGAGACGGAGAGACGGAATGGGAGATGAAACGAGAGGAAGAAGAAGCAAATCGACAGAGGTGGAGAATAGAATGCGGCTAGGGTTCCATTTTGGAACGTTCTAGTTATTTTATACACCTTCTGTAAAGACGAAACTACCCCTCTTATTTTCTAAAATTTACCCGCTGCCATTATTCATCAGTAACCGAAAAACTCAAAATATAAATCATTGGGCAGTTTCAAACCATCGAACTCTAGTACACAAAATCAACAACTTGAACCACTAGGTTGGTCACCCGCCACCTTAATCTTTAGGGCCCGTTTAGTATTGTTGCTTGTTTTTGTTTCCTGTTGTGTTTTACGAAATTTGGAAAACCAAGAAAAAAAATCGTGTTTAGTTGGGTTTTTATTTTTTGTTGTGAATCAGAGTTGCACAACAAGGCCCAAATATGAGAAACAACAATTTATAGCTTTGGATCTGATTCTTAAACATGTTGCACACGGGTTTCCTACTGGTTGTGGTCTTGATTTCATTAAAACAGACCACTTTTCGAATCCCCACAGAAGCAAAAAAAAATTTTTTTTTTAACCCATCACCCCCAAAACCCTACTTCAGCCGCCCCCATTTTCCATCTTCTTCTCGCAGTCCCCAACCAAACTCTTCCGCCCCAACCTTTCTTCTCGCAGGCGCAGGTCGCGCGACCCCCCACCTCCGGCCAGCGGCGCCTCGCCACAGCCGGCCGCCCTGCCTCCGCCCGCCCAGCGCCGCCCAGCCGCCTGCCTCCGCCAGCCCAGCGCCGCCCAGCCGCCTCGCCTCCGCCCGCCCAGCGCCGCCCAGCCGCCTGGCCTCCGCCCGCCGCTGCCCGTGCAACAGTCGCCGCCGCCCTGCCTCCGCCGCCATTCCGCCGGCCGCCGACCATCTCCCCGCAGCAGGTAAAACAGACTCGTCCTTAAATGTATTATTATGTTAATATTGTTGCCTCTGAATATGTTCTTGAATTATGGTATGTATATAGTGATTGCTAGATTAGTTGTTTGTGAATTTGGATTGATTGCTATGTTCTTTGTTTTGTGGTTTACCTCAGTTATGGAGAAAATTGTTGAAAATGGTGATGTTGATTGTGTGGAGATTCAGAAAAATGATAATGGGGAGAGGGATGATAGCAAAATATGGGGTGATAAAGCTGAATCTGTGTTCATTGATCTTTTGGTGGAAGAAGTTAAAAAGGGAAATCGTGTTACTTCAACCTTTTCACCAACTGGATTCGCCAATCTCATTGCTGGTTTGAAAGAGCGGTTGAAAAGAGACTATACTAAGACTCAAGTGAAGAATAAGTTTAATGGGTTAAGGGGTAGACTCAGATCTTTCAAGACATTGCTTAGTCATACTGGAGTGGGATATGAAGCTTCAACTGGTTTTGTTAGTGCAGAAGAACATGTTTGGGAAAGTGCTATCAAGGTAATAAATCAATCTCTTTTCAATAATAATAATACTAATTAAAATGAATGTTAAAAACTCATTTTACTTAACTTGAGATGATTTTATTAATGAGTGTAGGGTTCAAAGTTGCATCTTAGATTCCGAAAGCATGGATGTCCTGAATATGACAAGTTGTGCTACATATTTGGTGACACTACTGCTTCTGGAAATAATGCTCGTCCTTCAACCAAAGCTACTTCTAGTAGTAATGAGGAAGAGTTGGCTACAACCAAAAGTGTTGAGGTAACTAATCTTGATGGTGAAGAGGAAGAAACTGGTGCAACTCCTGTTGTTGAAAAGGAGGATAAGAACAAAAACAAAGGCAAGGGGAAAAAAAAGAAAGCGAGATAAGATTAGCTATGCTGAGTCCATAGGAACATTGTTGTCATCCATGGTTGAGCGAGAGAAAATGAAAGTTGAGCGTGAGGCACAAAAGATGGCTTCTTCATCTGTGGGAGGAGGTGAAGTCTCCTCCAAGCCAAGTGATGATGGGCAACTTATGGAGTGTGTCAAGCTTTTGGATGAGATGAAAGTTAATGGTGCCTTGTTTGCATCAGCTGTGAAGTGTCTCCATGATTCTAAAGAATATCAAAATGTGTTCTTGAATGTGTCCGAAGAGAGGAGGCGTGATTTGTTGCAGCTTTGGATGTGATGGATGCTTTGACTGTTTTGTTATGTTTAAAACTCTCTCGTTCTGTACTATTTTGGAGTGTTATCATTTGGTTTGAAGTTGGTTTGTAATGAATATTTGTATGAATGTTGGATTTGATTATGATGTGTAATGAATGTGTTGTGATGTTTTTTATATGGATGTTCATTACTTTACTTTGTATACACAGATAAATGGCTACTTTTTCAGATTCATCATCAGACTCTGATGACGATAAATTAGTAGTAATAATGCTAGCATTGATGGAGGAGGAGAGGAGGAAGTCGTCTTCTAAAACTCCTTGTAGAACATCAGATAAGAGAGGACATGATTGGGTGCAAGAGATTCTCCGTGGGCATCCAATTCGAATATATGAGCAGTTAAGGATGGATAAAAGGACATTTGTTTCTCTATGTGAGGAACTAAAACGATATGGAGGGTTGAAATCAACAAAGAATGTGACAGTTGAAGAACAAGTTGCAATATTCATGAAAGTTGTTGGACACTCATGGACCACTAGAGATGGCGCAGAAAGGTTCCAACATTCCACAGCCACTATATCAAAGTACTTTGGCATAGTGTTGAAAGCAGTCAATAAAATTGCAGTAAGGCTCATTAAACCACCAGATATGGGTGTGGTTCCAAAGCAGATCATGGATAACTCAAAATTTTACCCGTATTTTAAGGTTAACTTCTTATCCTTTATTTCATATTGCACATGTTTCATATTATGATGATCTTGATATAGGTATATTGTTTTACAGGATGCTGTTGGTGCTATAGATGGAGTGCACATTGATGCTGTAGTTCCAACTGATGAGCAAATCCCTTATCGAGGACGAAAAGCAAAAACAACACAAAATGTTTTGTGTGTTTGCTCTTTTGATATGCTATTTACTTATGTAATAGCAGGATGGGAAGGCACTGCGAATGATGCTAGAATACTAATGGAGACAATCGCAAATCCAGATAATGATTTTCCAATGCCACCAAAAGGTATGATATCTACATTTCATTCATTTATTAATACAATATGAGTGATAATGAGATCTTATTGGTTTATTTTCAAACATATTCATTTAGGTAAATATTATCTTGTGGACTCTGGATTTCAAAATATCCCTGGATTTCTAGCACCATTTCGAGGAGCTACCCGTCATTTTCAAGAGATGAGGCGTAGAGGCGGACCAAGAGGGCGTAAAGAATTATTCAACTTCCGGCATTCAAGTCTGCGTAATGTGATTGAGCGTTGCTTCGGAGTTTTAAAGGCAAGGTTTCCGATTCTAAAGTTCATGCGGTCGTATAGCTTGAGGAAGCAAACAAGTATTGTCATTGCTTGTTGCGCCTTACATAATTTCATCAAGATTCATGCCGAAGATGATAAACTATTTCATGAATATGAAAATTATGAAGATGAAGAAGGTTCGACTTCTGGGGTTGAACTACCACTCACTGAGTTCAACGTCAGCTATGCAGCAACACGTGAGATGACCGAGAAGCGTGATGCCATTGCTAACCAGTTATGGAGTGATAATCATGTTTAGTATTATTTTTTATGTAAGGAACATGAAAGATGTTAGACAAATTGAATTTTGTGAGACTTTGCTTAATATTGAGGACATATCTCTTTTTCCTGGTTTTTAGTTCTTATAGTAGTAGCTAAACGCGTTTTTGTTTCTTGTTTTCAGTTTTCATGATTTATCAGATTTATCAACTAAACAGGTTTTTGTTTTCTGTTTTTTTCCTGTTGTGGTTGTACATCTGTTTACAAAACACCACTGCAACCACAACAACAACAAAATGATACTAAACGGGCCCTTAACTATCGCTCTGCATTTTAACTCTTCAACATCCATAATACGTAAAATTTAATTGCGATCGAATTTTTAGTTTAGGATTAATTCGATTACCCCAACACCCATTGGATATCTAACATTCAATCATTGTGTGATGATTGATTTTTGCTATGTCAAAACACATATTTTTCCTTAACAACTCTTTTAAAAAAAATCATGGTCAATAGACTGTGATAATCGTTCACGGTGAAACCCTTTCAAAAGTCACTTATTTCTCAATCAATAAATTGAAACATCTTAAATACATTTTGTAACAACGCAATTATCATCTTAGCCACGATCAATAGAACGTGTTAAGATCAGAATCACTGTTTTTTTACAAACGAACTACGTGGACTTTGATCCCCACTAAGTCGGGTATGTAGGCAACCAATAGGTTCGGGTCCCACTAATTATAAAACTCTTTCTTTACCTTTCGAGATTTACGTCAATAGTCATAATGATCGAATTGTATATTAATAAATATCAAATTAAATCAAATAATATAATTAAATGCACAATAATGCACAAACAATAACACACCCAACCCTTTTAAAATATACCGATTTAAGAAGTACCCATTTGGGGTGTTGTGGGGTGTGAATACACTTCCCTACACGTAACTGTACTCCCGAACCCGAATTTCTAAAATTTCGTAGACCAAAATCTCGGTTCTGCCCCTAAGGTCGGAAACGGACCAAATGAGTGTTCGATCCACTCCAAGTAAGATCGATGGCGACTCCGAGCAAATCGCGACGGATCCTCTGATTCGGATGGGAGGTTGCGACAGTATTTTGTTGAGAAAGATAGTGTTTACTTGTTGGGTTAGGATTAGTTTACCTTATTCGAGAGTGAAAGGGTTATTAGAGTAGTCCTATAAATATTACTTATGTTCTACGTTTTAATAAATAAATTAGAGTCAAGTAGAATTAGTAGTAATTTAGCTATCTTTATCGTGTTTCCTTAGTTTATAGTAGAAGAGTTCGAGATCCACGACGCTTGAATTCCACGCACGCGCTAGAAGTGGGAGTTAGGAGGAGGAAGCGGCATGAATGGAGAAGCGACTCCTGGGTCGGGTCGGGTTCAATGGTTGGGTTGGGCAAGCTGACATGGCGGGTTTCGATGATGGCGGGTCGGGTTTAAATTCGGCTGACTGGGCGATTCCATTTATCACGTCAGCACTTAATGGACTCCATTAACATAGTTTTACGGAGACTAAAAGAGAGTGACTAAATGCGAACTGTTTCAGCAATTCGAGTGACCAAACTTGATATAAATTTTATCTAGTGACTAAAACATGACACCGTTTAGTAAATCTAGTGACCAAACTTGGACTTTTAACCCAAATTTTGGGGAGAAAAAAATATTATTTGCAAAGGCTATCCCGAGAAAATGTAGTGATTCTATGTTTTGATGTGAATTGTCAACCCTTTTAATTTAAAGTCTTCTTCTAATTTGAATTTTAAGAATGTGTCGCCTACATGTGCGGATGGAGAATGTAACATAACGAGTTTGATTTGGGATGAAAATAAGTAAATTAGGTCTAATAGTTGAGTGAGAATGAAAATTCGAGAGCGACAAATTGAGAATGGTTTACTGAGAGGTCTTGTATTCGAATCTTTACGACCTTATTTGTTAAGCACATGATATTGAGATTTGTCCGAACTTCAAACCCATACATGCATGCTTAACCTCCTCCATCAACTATTTGAGTTATTATATTATTGATATAATACTAAACTATTACTGACAAAGAACATCATTTGAAAGCGAACACCTACCTAAATCATAAATAATTGTTTGGTAGAAAGAGAGTGGTATTCTCCACGTGGCCGTTTCTCGATACGGCCACACATGAGTAGGTTGTTCCTAGGTCGATTCTGATCACCGTCCCGAGCTTCGGAGTCCCTTCTCTGTCCGCTGCTGATGGTGCCAGAAGGAAAGCTGTAAAACAACAAAGAGAAACATAGCAAGGATTTTTAGTTTCTGATTAGAACCGAACAAAAGAGAATAGAAGTAGAAGAAAAAGAACAAATTAGGTGGTTTTAGTGTTTACCTGACACAACGAGAAGAAGGATGAGTGCGAGATTGCTGGTCTTGACCGCCATTATTGCTTTCACTAGAAAGAATTTGATTGCTTGATTTTGCACTCTTCTTTCTGTGGCTCTGTTTATTTCTGACGCTGTGTCCTAAAGGACGTATATTTATAGTAGTAGCGGGATTTAGTTTCTTAAGCGGATTTAAATTGTGTAGGCTAGCATGTTCGTCGAATCAAAAAATGCCACGTCATGTAATAACGTTGTCAGATTCTTGTGGAACCAGCTTTGGCGGGAAAAACCTCATAACGAGAGTTATTACTTATTACTTCTCGTGCCTCGGCGACGGATTCGAATTTGATAATACGTGCAGAATTAGAAGAAATGGGCGAAAGTCGGGTCGGAGAGATTCATTGGGCTTAGAATTAGCGAATCCGGTTGGACTCTGGTGAAGGGTTGCGTTTGCGGGCCTGAAATTTCGCGGGCGATTGCCCAACTGAGCTGGGCTTTTTTTTTTAGTTTGGGACACAAGAACCTATTTCATTTGGGCTTAGGAATGATGTTTTAGACCCGAATCTCGTCTCGGTGTCCCAATGTCGTCGCCTTTTGTTTCAGCTCTAAATTTTAATCGATCTTGGTACTCGGAGTCGGAGGTGAAACAAGGCGGCTGTTAGCCACTTATTTTTCCACGGAGTTATCTAGACTGATTTAGAGAACACTCTTTCCTTATCGGAGAATTCCATATTGTTGGATTTGGAATTATGAAGCTTCCTGGTGATGAATATACCTAGGTCGGCAAGCAAGAACATAATCCTATTGCCAAAAGATTAGAAATTTTTTCATGAATGGGGCATGGTTAACTAAGTTTCCTGATAGTTTTGCAAGCACAGTAGTTCCAGAGGTTCATTTTGATCACAGTGGTCTACTGCTCAATTAACTTCTGATAAGAAAACACTGTCTAAACTCTAAAACTTTCTAGTTATTTAGATTTTGGAGTGAGCAATCCAGATAGAATTTTTTAGGGCCATCCCCATTACTGTGAACAAGAAGCCAAAGTAGTTGCTTAATATGTGATGTTTCAGAAGGTAGAAGAGGAGTCATATAAAAAAAAAAAAAAAGAATTCAAGCAACTTAGAGGGAGATCATAATTATGCTTATTTCCACTATTCTTTAACCCCCTGTTTTTTTACGGAGGAAAATGGGGTGAATGAAAGATTTTGAAGGGAAATTAAATTCCCAATGCATTTTCCGTTGTTTCTGAAAGAAGGGGGAAGGGAAAAGAAACGAAAATCTACGGTACAATCAATCCCTCCAAAAGCGAGATAAAAATAATACCATCATATTTGAATTTGGCCATCTCTCACCTCTCTCCTCTCTCCTCTCTCTTTCTTTTCCCTCTTCTCCTTCTTCGTGCCTCCCCCAAACAGCAGATGAAGGTTTTCTCATCTCCATCTTTGCTCAATCTTTGATTTATCTCTATCCTATAGATAAACAAAAAAATCATGGGATGAAAGCTCTCTCCTTCTCTCCCTAATCGATCTGTTCTTCATCCCCCTCTCCGAAAATCACCATCAACCCCCCAACAAAATCTCCGGCTAAGCTTTAATTCTGCATTCTTCTTTACCGACGAATAAGTTCCAACAGTCAGCACCTATATATCTTTAGTTTGGTAAGAATCTGTACTGAATCCTTGTTTTCCCCCAAAAAACCCATCAACTTTCCTTTTCCCCCAAATCAGAGCATCTAGGGTTCATATATAATTTATTTCATCTTTCTTTTGTACAGGATTTTGCTTTCGCTGTTGGGCCTTCTGATTAAACGTCTCTCCTGATTATTCTGTTTCCTTGGAGGTCCTGCTATCAGAACGACAACATAGTTGCTAGAGGTAATGTTGCTCTACTGCCTCTGTGGACTTCTTTATAATATTTTGATTCATGCTACTGCTTTTTATTTATGTGTGTAGCCTAATTAACCGAGCTGTATGATGTTTTGAATGGCGACATAGTTGATCTACCTCTAGTTATTCTTTCTTTGCAGCTGTCGACTAGAAATTAGTGCTTATATGAACTCTGCTGCCCATGGATCATTGATCTTTGTTTGGACTAAATAAAGCTTTCAATTAGTTAGTTTCCCATGGTAAAAAAATATGAGGGCGAGAGTAGTTAGGACTTAGGTAGGTAGCTAGCTAGTATGGTCTCCATCCTTGGTACTTTAGCATAATTTCACAAACGTATGGAAAAGGAACATGGTAAGAAAGTGACAAAGAAATGGGGGTAAGGTTTCTGGCCAAACTTAAAACAAATGGGGAAAGCTAAGACATGTCAATTTTATTTAGGTTTGGCATCACTAGAACCGCAATTTTCCACGATTATTCTTTCTTTTATTATTGGATGTTGTTCTTGACTGAACCATTGATTTTATTTTTAATTTGGAGAGGAGGGGTATGGGACGAAAATTGAAGGTGAAAGAACACTATAAAAAATATAGAAAGTCCAGATTGATGGCTAAATAGGTTTGTAAGCGCATAGCTTTGAACCTTGTTATGCGTTGCAAAGCTTGAAAGTTTCTTTTTTTGGTAAGCGCATAGCTTGAAAGATTGTAACTATGTTTATAGTTTTTCCTTTTAGACCAAACAAATTAATGATATCAACATCATCAAAAAGGGGTAAACAA